TTGGAGCTGTCGTAAAGAAAGATGAAAAGGGTGATTGGATAAAATATGCATATCCTAATTTGTCAGTCCGGTTTAGTAGTCTAAAAAGTTGTCACTTCACCAAACAGCAAATCTATAGTTTGAATCCCACAAATAACGATTAGGGATGTAATTTTACATAATTTTGAGTAAGTTTCCGTAAATTAGTTTTTCATGTAATTTGTAATTTTGAACACAAGATATTAGTTTCTGAGATCGAATTTGATGGGTTACAATTCGGATAATATATTTAAATCAAATGATGCATAATGTTGGCCGTTCTTTTGTAGAGCTGGTATTTCACGAAATTACATGAAATCTTATTTACTGAAACTTACGTAAAATTACATGTATTGTAAAATTGTAATTTATGTGTTAAGCTACTATTAAATCATTAGACAAAGTTAATCCTATTAGAGATGGACACACGCGGGATCTTAAAATGATCCCAGATAAAATTATCTGACTGGCATTACCATATCATCTGGCTGGCATTAAAAATATCCGGCCTGCATAAGCATATTTAAAATTAACAGTAAACCACGAAAATTGATTTCAATACCGTAATAATTTCTGCATGGTTTTTTATCAAACACAAAAAATTAAGAAACCCGTGGATTTCTGATCCTATCCCGCGCGTGATTTTTGAGGAAACCGTGATTTGACCATCTCTAGATCCTATCATTCAGCTACCCTTTAGAAGCCAACTAAAAGCTGTCTGTTGTAATTCCCGAATCACACATGTCTTTCTAATATGAAATAAACTTAAGAATGATTGGCTCGCCATCTTTGCGCGCCAGTTGGTATACCACTGGCGTCGCCAAATACCCTACACCAGCAACCCTGTTAGCATATCAAATGCAAAAATGTACAGTAAATGCCTTGAATTATCTTACTGAATTTTAGAATTAAAATCATGTAGAGGGTTTATTTCACCTCACCATATAACTTTATTAAATAAACAATACAGCAACTGAAGTTATTCGTTTGTATTTTAACATATTTATTAATGCATATATAAATAAATAAACATAAATACATAAGTTATATTTATGAAAAATCTACATATCGTCAATCATATAATTATCCTATTGAAATAGTAAACTTGATTAAACAGCAATATGATGTTCTCTGCAATATTCTATAGCTTTTTGATGTTTGTTTTTGGCAGCTTTAATCAACCATTTCTCCCCTTCAATTCTTTCATCGCTACTTCCATTCAATATCAAAGTGATTCCCAAATTATACATTGCACTATAATTATTATTCTCTGCAGCTAATCTAAAATAATGTGTAGCTTTCCCCTTGTCTTGGGGGACACCTTGTCCCGAATAAAGACCAAAACCATACCTTAACTGTGCTTCTGGATAGCCAGTATCCGCAGATTTTTTATAGAGCATCATTGCGGCTTGTAAGTTTGTTTCAGCGTTTTCGGCAAACTCATCTATAGCTTCATCGTAAAATCTTCTCCTAAAAAGGTTAGAAGCTGTTAAAATGTCATATTGTAGGTAAAATCCAATCCAATAAAGTGCAGTATGATCTCCTCTCCTAGCATAATTTATGAAGACCTTCCATGCTTCAAGCAAATCACCGTCATCTGAACTATGTTGTTGTTTTGCTTCTTCTAACGTCAGCTGAGGTTGCTGTTCAAAGCGCCAATCATCATCCTCTTCTAGACGTTCCATACTGTCATCGAGATAATCACCAAATGAATTCCAAGAATGTATTTGAGAATTATTACTTTCACTAGTCATATATTTTCCTTTTTCAGTGTAGATTATGCACCATTTGAGGACATCTTGAGCAATTTGTTCTGTTTCATCATCAACTTCATCAATCTCGCAATCAGAACCCTCATCATCAAATCCATCTTTATCATGTTTTGAATCAGGCTCTGGTTTGTCTTTTGTAATATCTATTATAATTCTAGCCTTCGCCCAAGCTTTAGGTTTAATGCCATAAAAAACTGAATTGTCATTGGAAACAATTGATGTAACCAAAACACAGTCCGAAGCAAGATTTTTACATTTTAAATGTATATCGGATAAATTATTATCTTTGACGGTGAGGTTTCCGTAGAGGACTCTAATATTTCTGTTTTTATTGCTACAAAATCCCTTTGGTTCAGCGAGCACAAACCATATAAGTTTTGTATCTTTTTTGGTTAGCCTTTAATAAATTAATTTAATAAAATTAATAAACGAATTAATAGATAAAATAATAAAATGCTTCAATTCTTAATATATACCGTATGTTAAAATCCTTATCTTTATATATATTCGCGCAACAACTACTTTTATTCTGATAACTAAACCGGACTGACAAATTAGGATATGCATATTTTATCCAATCACCCTTTTCATCTTTCTTTACGACAGCTCCAA